ATCTTAATCAACCATTGCACCCTGTGCTTCTTTTTATGGCTGATATTTTCTTAGTTGCTAATCAAATTCCCCAATTTTAGATAAAACAAATCCCTCGTTTCGTCATCTGAAATTAGTTTTTATAGACTGCACTTTTGAAGAACTTCGCAAAGTTTTCTCTGTGGGAACGATATCTGGTACTTATACCATTATTACTTGTTACAAGACGACAATAGTTCAAGGTGTATACTTGCGCCAAGTCCTATTTTTGTGTTGAAGTCTAAGGTTGCATAAACCGACGAGTATGACTCAAAATAGCATAAAGTCCAACAACCTTAAATCATTCGTAATTTCTATGACTCAATAAATCAAAACATCAATAATGCATTAACATCAAATAATCCACTAATACATAATATATCACAAAATTCTACTCTGTTTTATTTGCCCATCCAAGTCATCCCGTACTCCAAAAAAGCAGAGGTGGCTTGGTTCGGTTCACCCATCATACCTACTAAGTAGAAGGCAGGCGAACTCGTACCAGTGCAACAAATGTAAGCTTTTCTCAAGATTTTATAAAATCAAAAAATTCAAGAACACAAGTCTATCAAATAACAACACATTTGGTAAATCTTAAGAGAACACTTAAAACTTTAAAATAGACATTTTTGACATGTATAAAGTTTTCACAAAGCAACTTGAACTCACCTTGCTAAGTTAGGTTAAACTTAGGATCCAAATCCATCTTCAGCTTCCAAAATGGTGAAGGCTTTAGATCCATCAACACCCACCTTTTGAAACTTTATATGGGTTACAACCATAGCCTAGAGATGTACCAAAAGTAACCACAAACTCAAATTCATAACAAATCTTAGTCAAATCCTCTAATAATTCAAAATACACTAAATTGGTCAAATTTTCAAAACATGGAAGATACCTCAAAATAAATGTTCTAGGAGGTTAAAATGAAAGGTTTTAACAATAATAAAGGTTTAAAAGGTTAAGATGAACTTACAAATCATTTTCAGGAAAACCCCCAAAAGTAGGTCAACAATGGTGAAAATGTTTGGAGAAGATGAACTTGGAAATCTTGGATCTAGACTTGAAATCTTGTTGATAAGAAGTTCTTGAATGCTTGGAGATGAGAGATAATTGCACTTGCAGTCTCCCAATCAAACTTAATCAAGAGACTAGGAGGTATAGATGATCTAATGGAGAAGATGAAGTTGACTCGAAGCTTTAATCATACCCCCTTGTTTTTGATCTCACAAAAACTCTTGAAGAAATCGATTAGAAGAAATGGATAGGTTTGGGACCGATTTGAGAGAGAAAGAGAAGTGATTTAAGAGATGAGAAATGAGACAAAAATGGGAGAAAATCGGATTTAAAGGACATCCATCCATCTCCCAACTTTCTTCCCAACTTCACTGGTGCGAGGCCATCCTTCACTGGTGCAAAGAAAAGCTGCCAGTAAATTAATTCTTTTTAACTATTTAGCATTAAGCCTAACCATTTCAAGGTATTGATTAAGGTTTATTTTAAAGTCAAGATGTATTTAAAACCTCAAAATATGCATACTAAAATCCGGGTGATACATACAAACATAACAAATTTTCACTTTTAATTCTATTTTTTGTATTAAAACAAAGAACTACGAACTTCTTGTAGAAGTTAGGAAGGTAAGACCTGCTCGTAAACAATCTGACTGTTGATAAATTTGTTAATGTCTAAAAGAGTAAGAGAAAAAGGTACTCTTTCAAATCTGAAGAACCATTATAGTCTTTAGAGGTTAAGGCGGCGATTTGTAAGATTTTGCACTTAGTAATTCTTTAAAGTGGCAAGTTGCATATGATCCAGAGACCGCCTTTTATAAATAGTCCATGCATTTAATGCAGCAATGCAACTTCAACGCATGTCTTCATTTGATTTACTGATCCATGTAACTTTATAATTCTCATATTAGCCTTTTGATATGATGTAGACATTTGTTGCTTCAACCCAACTTTTGTATGCAGAATGAACAATAAATAAATATATGATACTAATAAGCAGAAATTTTGAACTTTGTTTAGCTGACATGCTGAGCATGTGCCATACCAGGATATGGGTTAGAGACCTGGTCCCAAGTATTCTTACCAATTATTTATACATGATTTTGTGTGCGAAGTGAATAGTAAAATAAATGAAAATTACTTACTTTGGTTGACATGTTGAGCATGTTCCCACATTAGGATATATAGTTGGTAAAAAAACTTGGTCCCTATGTCTTTACTTCAAATCGGCTTGCTAGATAGCATTTGTAAAGCTATCTGATTTATCTGTCTTCTTATTTTCTGTCGGCTAGATGATAAATCCAATCCGCTTTGGTGTATATCTAACTTCATTTCAAATATTTTTTGATTTTGCTAAAGGCATTTTACATGATCAAATTGAATTTTAAAATAAGATTTACAATGGAAATCCTATTTAAAAGGATGTGCGTATCCGAATTATAAGGTGTATTTCCGATACACCAAAGACACATTCTTATCAATTTTGGATCATGGACAATCGGATCCCATACAAATCGGATCCTCTTCGTATTTTGGATAGTAAGAAATAACTTAAAATCCTAAAACATTCCAAGTGTTTGATTGGATGTTATTATGTATTAATATTAAATCCGATGGTTGAAACCAACAAATAGCCTTTGAAAAGTGGTTAAAAAGTGAATTTGGTTGATGAGATCGACTATGTTGATCAATTTCCCTAAATATTGTCTTTTTAACATTCATATAGAACTTAGGGTGGACTTATACGGTATTAAGTTTTTTTCTCCAAGCCATGTACCAACCAATTACAACTAGTAAGCAAAATCTTATACCATCTATCAACCAACTACCAACTTTTTTCGGTTGGTACTGGTTTTGTACCAACTTCAAATTACATATATGAAAATTTGCTATTTTGTTCAAATTTTGAGTGACCTTTTGAGTTTGCAAATAAGATATGTCATATTTAAGGGTTTTTAATTGCAGGTGAAAGAACTTGCGAACATTCAGATACTCAAACAAAAAAGTTAAAGATACAATGTTTAGTATCCAGAACACATAAAATACAAAAAATAATAAATAATTAACTAAGTCAGTACCATAATACTACCAGGGTACGCTACTTAATACCCAGAACCAACCAAGCTTGCATACTTGGTACTAGGGTGCTCAAAAACCCGACCAACCCAACCCAACACAAAATAACCCAACCTGAAGCAACCCATGTCTAATCGAGTTGTAAAATTTTCAAAGAATAGGTATTAGGTTGGAAATCGGGTTATGGTCATTTGACCCCAACTCGATGAACCCGATGTTTTTTTTATTTCTTAGATTTAATATGATTGTTAAGTTTTTATCAATATATACAGTAGACAATTACACCATTACGTAATTATAAGGAGTATGAATAAGCTTAAAAGAAGAAGTATAAATAAGTTATACCAAAAGATTGATGATGAAAAATAAATTATGAGTAGATAAAAGAACATATTCAAGGTAACAAAAAATATTTTGATGTATCAAATTATCAATCCGACCAACCCGTACGGTTTGGATTGGATTGGCTGAGTTAGGTTGAAAATTTTCAAACTGTAAACATTAAATTAGGTTATTGAAATGCTTTCAACCCAATCAACCTAACCCATGAGCACCCCTACTTGATACTAGGGGTGCTCATAGGTTGGATTGATCGGGTTAACAACATTTTAACAACCTAACCCAATGTTTGTGGTTTAAAAAATCTTAACTCAACCCAACTCTTACAAAGTGCAACCCAACCCAACCCAAACCGTACGAGTTGGTCGGGTTGATACATTAAAATATTCTTCTAACCTTGAATATGTTATTTCTCTACTCATAATTTCTTTTTCATTATCAACTATTTGATACAACTTTTTTTTACGTATATCGTATTCAATTAAATTTCTCAATTTACGTATATATGTTTACAGTTACTGAACATATATATGAATGAGTTATATAAAGATGTGAATAGATTGAAAATATATGTATATGAATAGCATACGTGATAGTGTAATTGTTTAGTGTATATATTATTCAACAATCATATTAAATCCTAAAAATAAATGGATATCGGATTCATTGGGTTGGGTTCGGTTCAAATAATAATAACCCAATATCAACCAAATACCTACGGTTTAAAAATTTTACAACTCGATTAGACATCACGTTACTTTGGGTTGAGTTATTTCATGTTGGGTTGGGTTGAGTTGGGTTGATCAGGTTGGTCGGGTTTTTGAGCACCCCTACTTGATACTAGGGGTGCTCATGGGTTGGGTTGATCGGGTTGAAGATATTTGAACAACCCAAACCAATGCTTGCGGTTTGAAAAATCTTAACCCAACCCAATCCGAACCAAAGTGCAACCCAACCCAACCCGTACGGGTTGATCGGGTTAGTCGGGTTGATCGGGTTGATACTTTGGTACATTAAATATTCTTCTAACCTGAAATTTGTTATTTTTCTATTCATAATTTTTTTTTCATCATCAACCATTTGATACAACTTATCCGTACTTTTTACGTATATCACATTCAATTAATTTTCTCAATTTACATATATATGTTCACAATTATTGAACATATATATCAATGAGTTATATAAAGATGTGAATAGATTGAAAATATGTGTATACAGATAACATACATGATAGTGTAATTGTCTAATGTACATGTTAATAAAAATTTAACAATCATATTAAATCCAAGAAATAAAAGAATATTGGGTTGAGTTGAGTTCAAATAATAGTAACCCGATATCAATCCAATATCTACAGTTTGACAATTTTATAACTCGATTAGACATCGGGCTATTTCAGGGACAAAATATGTGCAGATGAATAATATAGGGGTGTAAAGTGAACAATCACAATTTTTTTACCGCCATGCTTGTGTTCTTGATATCAAATCCCTTCCCATTTCTTTCTCCGTTTAGAATTTCTCTCTCTTCCACCATTTGTGTATAATATAGATATAGGATTTCTCTCTGTCGATATCTGCAGAGATACATACAGAACATTTATATATAATTTGTTTGGATCGCCTGTTGTTCTACAATGACGCCGACCTTCAAAGACCTCCAACTCGCGGAGGTTGGAGGCCGTGATAGCGGCGGCGTTCTTCAATCATCGGCGATGGATTTAGGCGGTAACCTTGAGGACGTTAGGCTTTTAGATTCTTATGACGGTGGTTATAATGATAATAATCATAATGCCGGTAAAAGTAGGGAGGGTCTGGAGAAAGGAGGCGTGACGAGAATTCAGGTGCGAATCACCGGGATGACATGTGCAGCGTGTTCTAATTCCGTCGAAGGAGCACTCATGAGCCTCAACGGCGTCGTTAGCGCCTCCGTGGCTTTGTTACAAAACAAGGCTGACGTAGTTTTTTATCCCAATTTGATCAAGGTAAGTCTCATTTTTGGTATCTAATTACTTTGGATCCTTGGTTAGTTATCAGACGGTGATTGATGAAGAACTCATCGTCACCAAGTAAGGTCTGAGCGAATGATTGCTTGCTGTTACCTTTTTCTTGTATGAATTTATCATATAAGTGTTATTGTGATTGAAAGCTGTATGGAACTTCGAAATGGTACCTTTGTTTTTATCCTGTGTTAGTTACTTAGGACAACTATTATGATTGTTCCAGATTTACATTGGGCACAAAAAGTCTTAGAGATTGTTAGTGACCTTTCTTTCTAATGATTTTTCTAAAGATGTCAAAAAAACTGATATAAACATATTAATTTGATTGGCACCGTAATTTCCAGATATACTATACATCAGAATTTTAATGTAGCTATCGGAATTTTCATGAAAACTAAATAAATTAGGTGGTTGATTTTGGAATTGCAAAATAGTACATTTCACTCTCAAAGATCAGTATCTGCTGTTTTTCAGAGTGGAGGAGCATTACTCTCAAAGCAAATGGTAGTATAAACTATTTATAAAGTTAAATTCAGTATAAAGTAAGATCAACCAAGAAACTGTGTTGAAGAAGTTCATAGACCCCAAGGATAACATATGATAATTAATTGATTGATTTTACAAATTGTAATACGAGTTTGCGGGGTGTAATGACTAATGACCATATGGTTTCGATTGATGTGCTCATTTCATGATATAAGGAGGCCTCATAATTTATATACAAGGAGTTGATGGTTTTTGGGAAATGTTGACATCTTTATAGCTTGCTCTAGTAAAGATCTTGGACATAAATGTTTCATGTTAATTACCAAATATGTTGTCCTTAGCCTATTTAAATTTAAAAGAAATATATTGTGCTACCATCAAGTCATTTCTTATTTTCTTGGTACAATGTCTCCAGCAGTTGTCTGCTTTGGTAACCTTAATTCATTTTCTTGACTTTGGGTCTTAAATGTCGTAGGATCTCAACATATGTGGGGATGGATTATGATTAGCAACATATGTTATTCACTTAATTTGCTTCATAAAGGAAGTTCTGAATTTTTCTATCCATTTTTGGTTGTCCTTATATCACATTTGAGAATTATAAACATTGCACGTATCTATGAATGCTAGGATTGTCTCTATTTAGGAATACATACTATCTTTCATCACCAGACAAACTTTATGTTGCCTTTTTAATCCTGTTCCAGCCTGGGTATTCTTTATCAAAAGGAACTTTATGCTCTTTGTTCAGGAAGAGGATATTAAGAATGCAATAGAAGATGCAGGGTTTGAGGCAGAGATTCTCCAAGAACAGGGTACCACACGGGCAATGTCACGTGGGACTGTAGTAGGGCAGTTCATAATTGGAGGCATGACATGTGCAGCTTGTGTAAATTCTGTTGAAGGCATCTTAAGAAAGCTTCCTGGTGTTAAAAGAGCTACAGTTGCCCTCTCTACTTCACTAGGGGAAGTAGAGTATGATCCTTCAATAATCAGCAAGGACGAAATTGTCAATGCCATCGAAGATGCTGGTTTTGAGGCTTCACTTGCACAAAGTAGTGGACAAGATAGAATCATGTTAGGAGTGACTGGGATATCCAATGACTTGGATGTAAAGATGTTAGACGAAATACTATGCAACATGAAAGGAGTGAGACAGTTCAATTTCAACAAAACATCAAGTCAATTAGATGTTCTCTTTGATACTGAGATTCTTGGTCCTAGAGCGTTGGTTGATGCAATTCATGAAGAAAGTTCTGGAAATTTTGAAGTACATGTAAAGAACCCCTATACGAGGATGGTTTCTCAAAATCTAGAAGAATCCTCACACATGCTGTGCCTCTTTAGATTCAGTTTGTCTCTTGGTGTAAGTAATTTACTGCTGTTGTTAATAACTTTATTGTTCATAGCTTCTTGATCCTTTGTTCTTCTTGAGTAATAATCTCTGGTTTCCATTAGTATGTTGGGGTGGGTTCACTTTTGCTAGATGCTAGTTTTTTCAAACCTTTTACAGACCATTCATGTCATATAATTCCTACAAGTAGAACAATATAGTTTGATAAGGGTCATGGGACTGTACCTTAGATGAGGCTATATTGGTTCATTTGTGCAAAGCCTTCAGTAGTTTATGTCTTTGCTAGGCTTCCCTTTACTTACTTGCTGACTGTTCCACTTGATGGCAGATACCAATCTTCGTAATGCGATTCGTAGGTCCACATATACCTATTCTTAAATCCATATTGCTCACGCGATGTGGACCATTCCAAATTGGTGATTGGTTGCGCTTGATATTGGTTAGCCTTGTTCAGTTTGTTATTGGGAAGCGTTTTTATGTTGCAGCTTTCAGAGCACTACGTAATGGTTCGACAAACATGGATGTTTTGGTGGCACTGGGAACTTCAGCTGCATACTTCTATTCTGTTTATGCACTTTTATATGGTGCAATCACAGGGTATTGGCCTCGAACATACTTCGAAACAAGTCCAATGTTAATAACTTTCGTATTGTTTGGGAAGTATTTGGAAACTCTTGCGAAAGGGAAAACATCAGATGCTTTAAAGAAGTTGGTGGAACTTGCTCCTCCGACAGCTTTGCTGCTTATTCAAGACAAAGGTACACTGATTATTGTAATTTTGGTTGAAGATTAATAAGCATTCCAGAAAACTAAGGTTTTACTTATTTCTTGGTATAACCTTTCTTCTCCACTGAAAGCTTTCAAAGAGAACAAAAACTTGTTTCCAAACGTTTGATGCGACATTAGATCACGACAGGAAAGGACTTGTCCTGTGTGGGAAAAATGCATTTTTTGTCCCACAAAAGTAGGTGGAAAAAAACCATGGAGATGGCACAAGATTAGTAAATTAATAAAGCACCCATATCAATTAAAACCCTAAAAGCTTCCTCAATTCTTTCACCAGCATGCCTCATTCTTGCTTGTCCAGTCCAGTCCAGTCCAGTCCATTTCCATCCGTGACCAAACACACCAAAATGTCCAACTAGGAGGATGCATGTTGTTTCTGACATTCATTAGTTTGACTTTCTTTCAGGTCGAAATTTTATTGAAGAAAGGGAAATAGATGCATTATTGATTCAACCTGGTGATGTATTAAAAATTGTTCCCGGTTCAAAGGTCCCTGTTGATGGTTTTGTCGTCTCGGGTTCAAGTTATGTCAATGAGAGTATGGTTACTGGTGAATCAGCACCTGTTTTGAAGGAGACTAATTCGTTAGTGATTGGAGGTACAATAAACTTACATGGCTCCCTCCACGTTCAAGCTACCAAAATAGGTTCCGACACAGTTTTGAGCCAGATAATTTCTCTGGTCGAGACAGCACAAATGTCGAAAGCTCCTATCCAGAAGTTTGCTGATTTTGTAAGTACACATTTCGTGCATAATTACCCTAGAGTATATTTTGTGCTATTTTTTAGTTAGATTGTTTCTTGAGAATGATCTTTCTATTAATCTTATTCTTCATATTCAAACATAAAAAATCCCTCACCTCATTTCTACTTTTGAATTTGTCATCTTCTCTTGTTTCTCAAAGTTGTATTACTAGATTGTAGTACCAGTAAACTGTAAGTATCTTAAGAAGTTACTTGATGACACTTGAGAAAGAAATGACCATTCCAATGGAGTTCATGAGCAATGATACGCTAGACAAAATAGTACACAAAGTAAGAAGTGCTCATGGAGAAGCTAAAGTACATCATTTAGACAATGGTTCACACGATAAGGAACCAAACATACAACCTTGAAGCTTATTTTTTTAGTGTTAGCATCTGCCCTTAATTTAGATGCTTGACATTGTAAGCATGCCATTATACTTGATAGAAACCTTTCTGCCTCATTGTGGGGATATGATCGACCAAGTCTCACCTATCTCAGTTTCCTATTTCGAGAATAAAGTAAGATTCTCGAAACTAAAAGATGTTGCTCAAAATAATTAGATGAAATTGGTTAGCGTATGATTTGTCTTATTCCTGAGTTTGTCGACTAGGTTGCTGCAGCACTTATGTTTGCTTTTGTTTCAGTAGTTATTTAATCTAGTGGCATAAGTTTTGTTGAAGAAAATCTCACATTTTCATTGGTCCATGCTTTTCAGTCCAGGGTGATCCATCTTGCGATTCGATTGATCATTTTTTCTTGTATATCCGAATCTATATTGGTTGTTCTTCAGTTGAATAAAACTTTTTGACTTATTAGGATCAAAATTCTTTCACAAATGTTCACAAACAACTTCATTTAAGTCATCCCAGAGTTGTCTCTTGATGGATTAATGTAAGCCTGCTTGAGGGGCATGTAACACAAATCATACCAAACAATGCAACAAGCTCACCTTTTGCTAGTTTGGTAAAAATTATTCTATCTAATCTTTGTTCATCCTGAACCATTGGTGCTTGGCTGGGGGTTTTGAATAAGAAGGAATAGGAACCGAGTAAAGGTGTTGCTTTGGTATAATGGAATGACTAATTTCCGAGTTATGACTTATGAGTAATCCATTCGCGCTTAATTTGAGGGGGAGGTGAAACTCATTCCTTTCTTCATCCTTCAGAATGACCCTAAGATCAGGATCCTCGTTGGGGTCTTTATCCAAAATTATAGATTCCTCAACAGCCCCATCATTTATCAAAAGAGATTTCCTATCAGCATCTTGCACCTCGCCTTGCTTAAATTCGTAACCTGGAATAATTTTTCTTTTCAACATCAACAAGAACCTCGCTCTACTTGGAAAACAAAGGCTATGCCTTGGAACTCCTCCCAGTAGGCCAGTTCGAGTTTTCTTAGACCAATGGCATTTTTCTGGTTGTTATCTTCAGGACACATGGGATGTATTTAATGGCTCGACAGTTATCTGCTTTGCCGTATTTCACAATTATTGTTGATGGAAAAACTTAGGGTTTTATAGTAGTAACAAGTATTGGTGGTGGAAATCAGAAGATGCAGCGATGGGTTGTTGATGGAGGAGATAAAAGGCAAAAAAAGAAGTTAATGGGATTCCTCAGTATCAACGAACATCATCAATGCAATGGGAATAATCATTACTATTTCCCAACATTCCAATTCCTTGATCTTAACAAAGCACTCTTGCAAGCCATGGCTCACGCCTCTTTAGAACCTTGCCAATAATCATGTCTTCATTTTCACTGTATTGATTATCTTGTTAAGAATTCAACAGAGAAAAAACAATCACAGGGTAAAACAGAATCCGCTGGTCAGATGGTATTGAAACAAACAGAATGAAGGAAACAACTAGCAATTTGGGATGCTAGTCTCTCCTATAAGGAATAACACATTTTCTGCCTGCCTTACCACTCCCACTCCCTAACCTCACACTCAACAGCCTCACACTCAACAGCCTTCCGTGACTTATCTACCGTACTTTTCATCTTCAGTTGAGCACGTAACAATTGAGCCCGCAACTCATCGAGAATTCATCTTTTTCTAACAGTCGATCCTCGAGGGTGAATGCCTGATGAGTCACGGCCATACAAGGCCTTGAATACAGTGCACTTAGTGGTGGCATGATAGGCCATGCTATACCAAAACTCTGCTCACAACCATACAATGTGGCTGCATAATGTGCTTTGCGCTGCCATGGAGGTTTAGAGTTGCAAAATGACAGGTCGGAAAAAAGGCCCAATCTGGTCATAGCCTGGTGAATGGGGTCTGTAAAGATCTATACTGGTCTGGATCTAGTAAGGTAAAGACTGACCGGTGGTGTAGTCTGGTCTGAAAAAGTCCGGCCTTGATTTTGTCCAGTCAAAAAAAGTCTACTATGCTCCTTTTGGTCTGCGCTTTTGGTAATTTAAGAAAAGAAAAGAAAATTTAAAAAACTGGACCGATGGCGGTCTTTATGTAGTTTGAAAAGGACGGTCTTTTTTTAGTCCAATAAAGTCACTCTTTGTATGGTCAAACTTGAAAAACTCTTGTCTGAGAAAGGACCAGTGATCCAGAATGGTCCAGATTGAAGACATCATGGACTGGTCTTTATCTGGTCTGCTCCGGTCCATCGACTCTAGTCCAAATGACTATCAGGAGGATTAAAGTTGTTGGCGGTTGAGACAGGTTTGCAATCTGTAGGAAGAGCATCTTTTGGATCTGTGTCCTTGAACTCTACAAAGTTAACAAAAATCCATATGGTTGTTGTTGCTGCTGCTGTGGGTTTTTCGGTTTGAGCTTGCAGAGTTCTGTTTGTGATTTTGCTAGTTAGAGTTAGTTTGAGTTGATACCTGGGAAGTGATTTGGAGATCAACTCATTTTTAAGAATTTGGAGTGTAGCTTCAAAGTTTTATAGCTTCTCATGAAGTTCTTCTAGAGGTAAAAGCTTACCCCTAGCTTGAATGGCTTGTGCTTGCTCTTTGAATTCATCTCCAAGAGCTTCTAGAATCAAGTCTATAATATCATCGTCCTTAAGTGGCACTCCAAGAGCCAATTCATCTTCCTTGGCTTTTACCTTCTGCAGAAATTTGGTAATTAACTTGTTGCCCTTCGTCATGTGTTTCAGTTGAGTTTTCACTTGCTTGATCTTGCGGCGAGAAGGCTTGGCATAAGTACCAATCAAGATTGCCCAGGCTCCTTTACATTTTGCCATGAATAGAATCCCAGTGGGAGTCATGGATCCAGTTGTAGCATCGAGTATCAATGTCTTGGTGTACCCACAGTTAGTAGCCTGGATTTGGTGAGGTAGAAACATTATTTATGATAGTTGAATTTTGATATGGGTTGAGACCATCCATGAAACCTAATTAAACTGTCTATAGGAACCGCTTTATTAACAGGATTTATCACTACTTTAGCTATTCCGCCAAGCTATGACTCTAATGCCTAATCAACCACCCTAGGGCTCTAATGCCTATTTTGACGACTCTCCAACCCTCCCCTAATCCACCCTCTACCTCTCCACCCCTTCCCGTCCCCCATACTCACAAATATGTGCCTGCAGTATGTAGTGTTGCCGAGAGGGTTACACCTCTAGGAAATGTCTGTCATTTTCGTAATAACATCTAGCTAGTTTTACTTTTTTCATCGGCTGCAAAGCTCGCCACAACCCTCATAGTTGTTTTTTGTGCATATATATAGTTCTCATCCATGTTGTCTTGGTCTGTTTCAGGTTGCAAGCATTTTTGTCCCTACAGTTGTAACTTTATCATTGACGACATTCATGGTTTGGTAAGTAACCGATGAGCGGGTAAAATGAAGTGGTGTGTACATATTCTTATCTTATTATGTTTTTCAAATGTAGGTTCTTTAGCGGAGTTCTTGGAGCTTACCCAGAAGACTGGCTACCTCAAAATGGCAACTACTTTGATTTTGCACTTATGTTTTCGATTTCAGTGGTGGTTGTTGCATGTCCTTGTGCACTTGGTCTAGCCACCCCAACGGCTGTCATGGTAGCAACCGGGGTTGGAGCCAATAATGGTGTTCTGATCAAAGGAGGAGACGCATTAGAGAGGGCTCAAAATATACGATATGTGATATTTGATAAAACCGGGACTCTAACTCAGAATAGAGCTGCGGTTACCACTGTCAAAGTATTCACAGAAATGGATCGAGGAGAGTTCTTGACGTTGGTCGCTTCTGCTGAGGCATAACTCAAATCATTATACGTACATACATATATATGGATACATGCATACACGTACATACATACATACATACATGCATGCCTTCATGCATACACAAACACATTCCTATATATATATATGTAAGTAGTTAACAAGATAGAACAATTTGAAACTGCATGGTAGTGTGCTTCTGCTGAGGCATAACTTGAATCGTTATACTCATACATGTATATATATGCGGATACATGCATATACATACATAAATACATGCATGCCTTCATGCATACACACCCACCCGTCCGTTCTATGTATATATGTATGTACTGGTAAGTAGTTAAGAAGATGAAACAATTTGAAACTACACGGTAGTCTACTTGACTCTTGAAAGTCAAATGGGACTCTGTTTCTTACCTTCTATTTTGTTCTTTGTTTTTCTGGAAGGAACTATTAAACACACACATGGAAACCACTACTCTACTCTTTGGGGTAGAGGTCACGTCTGCATACATCGCACCCCCCCAGACACACACATTCTACTTCGAGTGGGATTTACTGTGTCCATTTGGTTTGGTTTTATACACACTCGATTCAACTTATTCAGTTACCAAGTATAAGAATCATGTAATTCGTCTCAGGCTAACAGTGAACATCCAATAGCAAAAGCAATACTGGAATATGCTCGCCATTTCCATTTCTTCGAGGATCCTACTGTAATCAAAGATCCTAAAAACGAGAGCAATGACTCCACAAATACTGAATGGCTTCTTGATACATCGAATTTCTCTGCAATCCCAGGAAGAGGCATTGAAGCTGACATCAACCAGAAGCAGATTTTGGTGAGATTTGAACACCAAACCATACCGTTGAATGAAGCTTCTACAGATGTTTGCTTATATGAAATTATTTTGAACAGGTTGGAAACCGAAGTATGCTGGCTGAGAAAGGGGTTACCATTTCAAACGATATTGAAAAGTTTTTGGTTGGTCTAGAAGAGAATGCAAAGACTGGCATACTAGTGGCATATGATTCTGAACTCATCGGTGTTGTGGGAGTTGCAGATCCTCTAAAACGAGAAGCAGCTATTGTCGTGGAAGGCCTTTTCAAAATGGGTGTCCGGTCCATCATGGTGACCGGTGACAATTGGCGTACTGCTAGAGCCGTTGGAAATGAGGTTGGTATGCTCTTGATAATCAAACTTGCTTGGTATGCAATGAGTAATTGACTTTTTGAACCCGATACTTGTTTTCTTGTTGCAAACTAACCATCATTCAACCACAAGGGTGGTGCCTGATTGGTTTGAGCTTGGCCCCAAAGGTCAAAAGTACCAGGAGGTCCCATGTTCAAATCCAAGTAGGAATAAAAATCCCCTTGTGGCCACGGAGGTTCAAATGCGGTGACTCCGGGCTATCTACAAAGCAGGTAGTCGCCCTGGGATTAGTCAGCTCGCGTAGCGGGTTGGATATCGCGGTTAATCAAAAAAAAAAAAAAAAAAAAACTAACCATCATTCTTTAAAGAACAAAATGCTAAATAGCATTGACGCTTGAAAAAAATGCTAAAGTTTTATATTTCTTTTATTTGTTTTGACGTTTAGTCTGTTGATCTTGTAACACTTAATGACATGGATGCCAAGTTTACGTCTTTATTACTGTAACCCTTTCGTAACTACATTGTAAGCCTTTTGTAAACATGTATCTGCATCATTAAATGTTACAAGATCAACAGATTATCGGTAAAAGTAGATACAAAATAGGAAATTTTGAAACTTTATTACATTGAGAAAAAGACATTCGTTACACTATATAGGAACTAAACCTAATGCAACTATAGGAACTAAACCTAATTTTGTTGCATTTTGATACATTTTGCCCTAAAAAGAAACATTTTCCATTTGATTGATTAATTTTTCGAGTCATTTTACTTGGGTTTTGTTGTTGATAAATATTTTTAGTTTTAAAAATGCAAAAATACCATATATTGGAAGAATAGATTTTTGGCATTTTTTATAAAAACAAGAAATTACAATGGTTTAAACGGTAGATTACTTGCACAAAAAAGTGGTTGATATAAGGTCTGTGCACAAGTCTGGGGTCTTAATAGAAACATAACAGCCTCTCGACCCTAATGGTTGACGTAAGGTCTGCATACATCTTACCCTTTCCACACCATGCTCTCTGAGTGAGATATACAAGGTTGGTTTGTTTTAGTATTCGTGGGCCTAGTGGTACCCGGTAGGCCCACCTTCCTGGAGGTTGGGGTTCAAGTCTCACCAAAGGTGATAAATGCGTGAGTTCAATTTGTCGTATATATATGTTATATACTTCAAAAAAAAAAAATTCATATTTTTTGGCTTCGGTTAATAGGCTGGCATTCAAGATGTAAGAGCAGAGGTGATGCCAGCGGGGAAAGCGGACGTCATCCATTCATTTCAAAAAGACGGCAGCATCGTTGCTATGGTGGGTGACGGCATCAATGACTCCCCCGCATTAGCTGCAGCAGACGTCGGTATGGCAATTGGTGCAGGAACTGATATCGCAATAGAGGCTGCCGACTACATTCTAATGAAGAACAACTTGGAAGATGTGATCACAGCCATCGATCTTTCGAGAAAAACCTTCGCTCGTATCCGTTTGAACTACGTGTTTGCTATGGGCTACAATTTCGTTGCCATTCCTGTATCTGCCGGTGTTCTGTTTCCTTGGTTAAGGATCATGTTGCCCCCATGGGTTGCTGGTGCTTGTATGGCGCTCTCGTCTGTAAGCGTTGTTTGCTCTTCCTTGCTCCTACGACGGTATAAAAAACCCCGACTTACTACAGTCCTCGAAATTACCGTAGAGTAAAATATAGGTAGGGAGACGGAAAAAAAAACATAGATAAAAACGGTTTTTTGTTGTTACTTGCATAGTTTTCGTGTTTTTCATTCGACATATCCGTTGGGTCTACGTGAAGCGTTAACTCATGTATATATGTCACATCCCTCTTTAGTGTAAACGCTAGCCTATCGTATTCATTGTGCATATAAATTGTTCGTCGAATTTGATCAATATGATCTAGCAATGTGTACATCCCACTCCTAACCCTAGTTTTGTTGTGTATATACTGGGTTCGTTTAGTTTGATCTGAACAATGTTTTTATGTGTCTTTTAGAATGGAAGTTTGTTATATTTAACGATTTCATTTAAATTCAAAATGTAACTATTAACGACACAGATTTAGAGAATATGTACCACGAAAACAACCATTATACTATTTGAGATAGATGATAGGATTGTCTAGATCCCGCTCCCATAGATCGTACTTTCGAGAAGGGACGAACCTATTCATGACCAAGAGGGGTCTCATGCACCCGTTTAACTACATTTCACTGGTAAACTTATTTTTGAGTATGAAAGGTGTACCTGCTAAACTTTGAGTGGTGTTCTGAGATGTTAGAAAATACAAGGAACATCAGTAAAGAACGGAAAAATCCCTTGAAATCAACCCCAAAACCGAAAAAGTCTCAAAATCAACCAAAATACCTGAAAAAGTCCATTAAATTAACCAAAAGACTTTAAGAATCCTTGCAACAGTTGAATTTGGCTGAAAAAACATTGGATGGATTTACTCAACTCTAAGAAAATCTCCAATCATGTCACCAAAACACACACCAAAAATATCAAATATGATGGACACATAAACACTAAAAAACTCAACTCCAATCGCACTATAAAAAACACTAAATTTGTGGACCCACATTAAAATAACATATTTTATTTACTATTTTTAATTACAATAATTATAATTTATAATAGATATTATAATTTATTATAATTAGTAATTAATTTATTTAATGAACTATTAAAATAAAAACAACAAATTTTTAATTAATAAATTTATATTAAAAAAGATTACATTAATTCAAATAACACAAATTAATGAAAACACATAAATAATACTAATTCTCCGAGTTAGTATACTCGTCCCACCCATGATCAATTAATGCAATACGAAGTTCAAAGTGAACATCTTTATCCTTGATCTTTTTGTCGAGCAAGAAATTGTTCAAGTCCACCATTGTTATCGTTCATCATCTCAACTCCCCCGTCTTGCACTTCACTTCGGTTCTTCAATTGGTGCATTAATACCACGTTCATCTTCTATGATCATATTATGCATACTGATGCACGAAGTCATTATATCATGCAATATTTCCTTCCTGTATAACCGTACAGGTCCTGCTACTATTGCAAACCTTGATTGCAATACGTTAAATGCACGTTCTACGTCTTTTCTACATGCTTCTTGTTTCTTTGCAAAATATTGTTTTTCGGGCCACATGGATCGTGAATAGATTCAACAAGAGTGACCCATTTTGGATATATGCCATCAGTTAAATAATAACCCATATTATATTATTTTCCTTTGATGACATAAATAACAGGAGGAGCATTACCTGCTGCAAGATTTGCAAAAAGATGGGAGGCCTCCAACACATTAATGTCATTGTTGGATCCCAGAAAACCAAAAAATGCATGCCATATCCAAAAATCATAGTCAGCTAGAGCTTCCAGAATAATACTTGGAGATCTACTACGACTGGAATATTATCCTCCCCAACCTGTTGGACAATTCTTCCATTTCCAATGCATACAATCTAGACTACCTAACATTCCTGAAAAACCTCGTTATTCTCCAATTCAGAGTAGTCGTGCCACATCATTAGCATTGGGTGTTCAGATATAGCGGTCTCCAAACACCTCCACGATGGCACGACAAAATCGCTTCAAAGCTTCCAAAACCGTGGATTCGTGTTGATCCTCTCTCTCAGTGATTTGATGATAATCCCTTTTCACTTATGCGTTGTATTTATGTTTCTGTCTTTTTAGTTCAACGATCTTCACTGAGTATGTTCAGTGATCGCTGAAGAACTTGCATTGTAAATCTATCAGAGACAACAATACTTCAAGAAGACAACACTCACACCAAATAACCTTTAGCAAACGTCGAAGACTAAAATTGAAGATTAGAGACCGGCGAGTACGTGATCTGAAGTGATATTCAGTGATTACAAGTCTGTCTACATATGTGTGAAGATTGCTCAAGCTTCAGCGAATGATGATGAGACCTTCAGGTCATTCCAGCATTCAGCGATCAAAGGAAGCTTGCTTAGCACAATTGTTGTTGTCTTGTTCTTTTGCACACAAAGGACAAAACCCATACCCTTATGAAGTTGGTACGGTACGGAGCCGACTAGTCGACTCTTTGTCCACCAACTTTAGGTAAAGATGTCTGCTCATGAATAGTGTTTTTTGTACTATTCACTGTAGCAAAGGACAATCCTTCCTCTTAAGGTTTGACATGCACTCTAACCCTATCATATTGCATTAAATGAACATTTAATGCACTGGGTATAAATAGAAGTGTTTTCTTCTCCATGCAGAGTGCGCACAACTCACTCTCTAACCCTAATTCTTACTTCAAGCATTTTCTAGCTTAAGTAAATGATCTTCTCTACAACATTTCTTTTCTTGTATTTGCTAAGACTTTGTGTGTAACCAAAGATTGTTTAGATAGGTTTTTATCACCTTATCTTTCCGCAAACAATCTTGTAGAATCTGTATTGATCTTATTTATCAATATATATTTTAAATTCGAAAATACTGTGTTTGTATTCATCCCCCCCTTCTACAAACTGTTTTACTAATCTTGTAGACCCTCTAAGGACCAACAAGTGGTATAAGAGCAGTGTTTTCTTTCTTTCTCTGTGTTTAGCTGTTTTCAATATTAGTTTATCTCCTTTCTTAGATAACTTTACCTTTTTCAAATGGCTTTACAAATTACAAACACACACACACAAGATAATGGCTCTCTTGCCAAACCTCCCCGGTTTATCCGTGACAATTTTAGTCTCTGGAAGAACTGGATGTCCCTCTTTCTGGAAGGTGTGGATCCTGAAATTCCACATTATATAGAAAATGAACCATATATTCCATTTGCTATTGTTCCGTCTGTTCCAGCAACAGCTACGACTGCCGCGATTCCTGAACGGCAGATTCCAAAGCTCCCACATCAATGGAGCGACGAGGACAAGAAGAAAATAGCTATAGACACCCGTGCTCGGTCTATAATAGCTATGTCTCTTCCTAATGAGATTTATCACTCAGTGATGAAACTCAAAACTTCTAAATCCATGTGGGATACACTTTGTGTCCAATATGAAGGAACCACTCAGGTTYAGGAGACTAGAAAGATCAATCTAGTAAGACAGTATGAAAGCTTTCTCTGTGGAAAGTCTGAGACGCTGTGYGAAGTACATCAGAGATTTAACTGCCTTCTTATTGATCTTAGGGCTGTCGCCAGGGAATATTCTAATTCTGAAACTCTAACCAAGTTTCTAGAATGTCTTCCTGAATCTTGGGACACCTTTTCCATGTGTCTCAAGATGTCGAATGACATGTCCACTCTTTCTCTTTCTACTTTATACGGGATTCTGCTTAACCATGAGCAATCTCGTCAACTGAAAAGGACTCTTGTAAAAAAATCCAGGGAAATGAAAAGCTCTTATTTGGCTTTGATCTCTGAAGCTTCTTCAGTTGAAACTTCTTCTACCCCTTTTGTTTCTTTTCTTCCTCCTGTTGTTATCACGGAGATAGATTATTCTTCTATCTCTGAGGACATTCCAGAATATGATTTTAACAGATTTTGATGAGTCCCTGGCACTCCTGACTAAGTCATTCAGTAGGTTCGCCAGTAAGAGCAACTTCTGCAGATCTCCTCAGCTATCCCTCAGGGAAAAACCAAAGTCTGAAAGAATAGACAAGGCTTCAGCTGTCTGCTACAATTGTCACCGGCCCGAACACTTTGCAGGTGAATGCAGATCAAAGAAGTCTGCGATGCCATTTTCTAAAGCCTCATCCTCCTTCAGGACCAAAGATGAGAAGTACTCAAAACTGAAGGAGAAGTACAAGAAATTGAAGAACAACCAGCGAAAGGCTAAAGGCCTTATTGCTGAAGAGCATGACTGGGCTGAGTCATCCGATGAATCATCTTCGGATGAAGAGGATAAAGCCTATGTCTGCTTGATGGCCATAGATGCAGATGAAGGATCTTCAGAAGTATCTACTTCCTCCGAGCCATCTTCTTCTTCTACTCAGGTATGTTTCCTGAATGAACCCTCTTCGTCTTCTAGTCTTTCTGCACTAGATACACTGACGGCTGACCTTTACAATACCCTCAATGGCAAATCGAAAGCTGAAATGCTTAACGTTGATCTTCAAGAGCAATTGAAGATTTGTCATTCTAAGATCAAAGAATTGACCTCTGTCGAGGAAAATCTTAAAGATCATGTTATTGTAAACCAAACCATCACTGTTGAACGTGAGAAGGCTATCGCTGAGCAAGCAATCGCTGAACTAAGGCCTAGAAAGCTACCATTGAAGGGTGGTGCAAAGCCATCAAGGCCTCTGAGATCATTAACGCTCAGATCCCCGCCAAGATAATGACTGGTCTAGGATTCTCCTATGATCAGGAAGAATGTGTTAAAGACAGGTCCATGCTCAAGTTTGGTACCTTCGTCTCTTCTATTCCCAACACTTCTTCCTCTCAGTCTTCTTCTTTTATTGAGAGTCATCTTGAAGGAACTCCTTCGAGTTCTGGATGCAAAGACAAAGGTAAATCCATTGTCACGACATCTCTTCCCAAGAAGTCTAACAAGTCTAATAGATCTAGGTCTATTCCTTCAGCTTGTAAAGCTTCTTCTTCTTCAGGGACTAGGAAATCTGAATCCCATCAGGAATCCAAGTCACAGCTCAAGGTGAACTTCTCGCCTAAGGAATCCAATTCCTCAAAGGTTCCTCCTAGAACTAATGAGAAGGGAGTTCTTGGAGCTGGTCCCGCTTCAAGTCTGATACTTCCTGGCCCTAAATCTACTCTTAGCTTTAAGAAGTGTAAACACTGTGGTGAGAAAACACATATTGCCAGCAAGTGTCCTTCTGCCGCCAAAGCTAGTTCGCCAGCCAAAGGCAAGAAAGTAACCAAGGATGAGAAATTAACTAAGGTGAAATCATCCACAAAGGCTGCTCT